GAACATCTGCCAGCTACGATGAGGCGGTAAAGCATTGCTATGATCTTACCTCTACTATAAATTCAAAATGAGTAATAATGTTCTCTTCAAGGGAACTCTTCCATCATTTCGCCTTAGTCCTATTTTATGGAAATGGTTGACGTGAAGACGGTTTCCGTAAATCACGTTATTCTCGTTGGTAGAAACACTAACTCTAAAAAGCCATAACTTCGGCGTAACGCTACTGAATTTTCCCATGCATTGACGACCGTGACTAAGTGGTGCACAGGTGCATTTCAGTATAGATACACATCTGTTGTTCCATGGCTTGAAACCGAAAGCCTCCTTTATGTGAGGGGTGTCATGGGACAAGTCATGAGGCCACATGGCTTGCCTTTAAGTCGTGAAGGAATAGTTCCGTTAGACGTAGACCAAATATCCACGACGTGCTCACGCTCATGTTGAGTCCAGGAATAGACTGGTTCCTTGCTTCTGTTCCACCTAGTTATTTTGTGCCTTTCATTTAAACATGATTTTTTTCATGCAGACTGATGTGGGCCTGTTCAAATCTATTCGGATTATCCTTGGTTTGACTGCAAGTCTTTAATCGAGGAAAATACCTGGGAAGAAGTTCCCAGTCGATTTTGACGAAGAGGAACCATCAAGCTTACTCAGCGAGGATCTCGCTGACGGAAAGCCAGAGCGAGAGCATGTGTGGTGCCGGGTAGAACATGAACTTCAAAAAAGGGTGATCACGAGTTTGATGCTAGCCTGGGGCCGAGTTTTGCAAGCATCTCATTATCATTGTGCTTGAGTTGCAAATCAAATTTACTCGTTCTGTCATCCGTTGCCAAGAAAATCTGTCCTGTTGATTTCATGAACCAGGGGACGTCTGCTAATTTCTGTAAATCATCTGCGTTATACCCCACCGTTCCAACGATGTTCCTGATAATAGTGTATGCCTAGACTGCAACCCAAGAATCTTCCATCGTCTTCTCACCTGATTATGGCTGCCATTTTGATTCTATAATATGGACGACCTACTCAAAGAAGGACATTTCGTCAACAATGGAAGAGGAGATTTTCTTACAATCGCTGGTAAAAGTTTGATATGAGTTTAGTGGTTAGTGATACCTTGGTTGCGTAAGACGTTTTCCGCTTAAGCCTTTAAAAGTCTGCAGTTTCAACAAGAAAAGGTGTTGTTCCAAGTACTAAGATATTTCACCCTGATGTTCTAGATGTATATAAAGATCTCTCCTTGTCAAACAACATTTGATACCTATCAGTGAACTACAACACGTCTTCTACAAGTGGTGACGCCATAGGTCTTCAGAAGATTGCGATTTTGTTGTGTAAGAAATACCTTGCTAAGAAAAACATATGCACCGTATGGTTTTTTTCCATTAATAAAATTGCTGTTATAAGCGTTATAAACTGAGATATCCTTCTGAATCGGAGAGTGAAGTTACTTTTTGGAAGAACCGATACGGACATATTCACAACGAAATCAGGTCGACAAGCAGATGATCAGTCAAATTCAAACTGCACTCATGACCACATAGTTCTTCGTGATGAACGACGGGCGATCACCCCCTGGAATCCTGAGACAGCCGTGGTATGACGTTTCCGGATCTTTATCATGAACAGTCAACTTTTGACAGATCTAATACCAATATGTTGATCCTGGAAGAAGGGAGACATAGTGGACATGAGGACGAAGCTACACCAGTGCCTTCCCGTATGGAGATAGTTAGTTCAAAGCAATACAGATACATAGTAATCATTACCTTTTCCTCCCAGAACGTCATCGCCAAATAAACCACGTGACTTTCTGAGACTAACGGTATTTAGAACATTTAGAGCTTTCTTGAGAATCAACAGAATAGGATAATATTAACCCATAACGCTCTCATTCAGTTTAGTGCGCTCCACTTTTCTTGCCGCGCTATCTTTATTAATTTGCTAGCTAATCGAAAGGAGATCTTTCTACACTTGATGAACAACAGAAAACCGTCTAGCAAAAAGTTCATTGACCGGTGACCTGACCAACAATTACCTTCTATTGTATGGAATATGCGATATAAAAAAAAATGAAATACTTTGATACATGGAGAGCCTACCTTCAGGAGTTGTATGGACCCAGTACATATTCTATTCGTTTCCTTCCCTTTCAATCGTCGTCCATGGTGGTGCTCTGCTTGAACATGGGGCTAAAGACGAATCACATACCCTAATATGTAAAACAACTGCAGCTGCGAGCACAGCTCCTTCACTTTGCATATGAACACTTCCACCCAACGCGTAGATGATCGTCCCACGGGAAGTTTTGATCTTCGTGGAGTCTATTGCACAGTTCTTTTCGTCCATTTGTCCTCTGCTCTTCTCAATATGTGATCGGCAGATAGATTTTGAAAATCAGAGCTTCACACTGCGGCTAGACATTATGCGTGTTGGTTACATTTCGGAAGACATCGATCAAGCTCGCTGTGAATAGTGCGCAGTGTTCTTAATCCAGCTAAGAGTATCAGCTCAAGCCTTTGCGGCGAAACTAAATCGCAATTGAATGACTACATTATTCACTCTAGTGCGGTTCTAAACTGCCTTCGCGACATGGCGTTGCCTTGTTGAACTCCTTTTCCTACGGATTTGATAAGAGATAAGAAACCTGTACTTTCGTTGTGCAGTTCCAATGACAGTCAGCTAGTGTTCCTATAAGTTACGGGTCCACTCCTTAGTCGATGAGCCCTCATAGGGTTGCATTCATTTTGACGCTGTCGAACACTCTCTCCCAGTCGATAAAAGTTAGGACAAGGTACAGATAGTACAGATGGAACTCGTGAAGGACTTCGACGACCCTGAACAGGGTCTGGATATCGTCTATACGGGAAAATCCCTATCGAAAATTTGCTTACTCAACTGCTCTCGCCTCATCCAATTTCCTTGATATGTGAGTTAGGATAGTCTTCTTGAAGAGGTTGCAGCGCACTGTCAACAAGAATATCGCGCGATAGTTACAAAGGCCTCTTCGGTTACCATTCTTGGGCAGGATGATCATGCGCGATGTGCTCCACTGATTTAAGACTTTTCCCTTTTGATGGCAGCATGTCATATGGTTTGCAAAAAGGATATTAAATTGTGGCTTCCACCTCCAAGGAAGCTGGCGGTGATATTTACTGGTTCTGGAGCTGTGCCTTTTTTCGTACTCTCTATCGCAACTCGAACCTCAGAAGGAGGAATCCCAGGTGGTTTTTTGGGACTGTGACGGGGATGGTAGGGCGGGAAATATTGGTTTAAAACTTTTCCTTTAATAATTCCATACCAGAGTTGGACGTTCTACTGATACCATCTTCATTAAACTGTCCCAACAGCGTAGCATTACACTTGCACAACGCCCGGCGATATTTTTCTAGACTGGCTCTTTTTTGTGCTATTTCTAAGTTTCCTGTACCTATGTAGCTCTTTTCGGGAAGCTCTTCATCAACTGACATTTATTTCAGTTTCGTTCTCTTTTGGAGACACTCCTCAGTGGTAATGGAGATGCGATGTGATCCTCAAGCTTTCGGAACTGATGCGAAGTCGGCAAAACTTCTAGGTGCTTCAATAAACAGCTTGTAGTCTATGATGGAGCTTTTTTAATCTGCCGATCACGTTTGGATGGGATTTCAATCAGAATGTTCTCGTCACATGCAACGAACTTTTTTCTTCGTGGTCGATGACATGCTTTCCAGCTTACGACTGGATCGAATCTTCGCGGGAAGAATGTCAAGGAGACACCACCTCATGCTTGTCAGAATATGACCGATCTCTACATGACTCGTGTCATTAGGAGACACTGAAACAAATTCATAATAAGCTGGTAAATACTTCCGAACGTCAAACAGCAATTAATGACCCCAGTCATACACAATAAGTAGTGCGACACACATCATTCGTACTCATATAATGATAGAGGAAAGTCTCTTTTATAATCCTTTCATGTTCGCAGCTCCTAAAACCTCTAATTGTTGAAAACGCACTTGTAGTCGTCAAAACGTCCGCAGCATACAAGAAATAGTTCGCATTCGATTTGGAGAGCCACGAAAAATGGGGTAGGGGCACTTTAGGTTAAAGAAGAAAATTGGGAAACACAAGTTAAGCACACTAGTATGCAAAGTCTATTCTGAAGTCGACTTATTACTGTGCTAGCCACTATTTAACAGCAAGAATCTTTTCCATGATCCTTGAATAATGTCGCGCTAACCTTTCTCCAGCAAAAATCTCTAGTATTAGGTTCTCATGCTATACAATCACATGCACTTATGGGCATGACAAGTATTGCTGTACATGTACAGAGCTAAACAAGTAATTAGCCCTTACGACGACGAGGCCGCATTGCAAGAAAGAACAGCTTGAGATTATCGACTCGGACCATCGGCTCTGATGAAGTCAACGTCGGAACGTTTGCCGAATAAAACTTATAAAACAACCTCGTATAAGCTTAACGATCCAAAAAGATACACAAATAATTTGCTGTTTTCTTGACTACTACGCACACGGGCACTAAGAAAACAGTGAATCACTGATTAGTATCGCGATTAACAGAAAGTCGCTCTAGGGAATAACTGCTGAGGGAGTAGTTTCCTTTTTTGGGTGGAAAAGTACAAGGTGACTTTCAAAAGGATTCGGTTGTGAGAAAAGTAAACGACGCCTGACAATGACACAATTAAAGAAGGTAGATAGAGAAGAATCGAGTGATAAAGGCGATTCATTCACTGTTTGACGAGTTGATTGAAAAAGAAATACCTTCAAAAATAAGAAAATAGAACTTGGCCATGTGAAGACGCTCAAATACATTATTAGCAGGTGCAATTTTTACGAAAACGATTCCGGGCAACAAAATGACAACTGCCAAAACGGAAAGACACTGACCAAGAAAAAATCTCTTTAATGTCTTTAACACAACGAATTTGTTACGAATTTCTTTAGAGCAAATGCAAAAAAAAGAATATTTTCAACGAGATGAAGAGAGCACTTCAAGAGAACTATCTGAAGACCACAGTTTGTAGTGCATCCTCTTCGCGTACTTCCACAAACGCTTCAGCCCCATCATTGAATCGATAAGAAACGGCGCCATCCACGACCTCAAATGTTTGGAAATATGCAAATGTAGATCACAACACAAGTACAATAAAGGTCTTCGACTCGAACCAAATGGGCGTCGTATCCTCGGCTTTTTACGCGGATTTTTTCGGCAAATCCACGTGGCGTTATAGGTGAAAATGTCGAATTGAATATCGGATCGCGCACCGTAAACGCCATTCCTAAAAGAAAACACTACAATGCAAATTTAACATTACATAACTCAAAAGACCGACTTTCTATGAACCTCGGCATAGATAGTCGACATATTTGTTTATATGATCTTATAAACTGATGTTCTTTAGCTGATGCGAGGTTGATATAGGTCTTCGTTGTTGTTGTTGGTGTTGACGGCTGACGTTTCGGCGATTTCGCCTTCCTCAGTCTCAGTCCTACTCGTAACAACACGTCTCTGAGAAAGGTAAAATCGCCGCAACGTCGGCCATCGACCAACAGCACCAACGACAACGAAGACCTATACCAACCTCGCATCAGCTAAAGAAGATCAGTTTATAAGATCATATAAATAAATATAACACTACATACTTAGACGAATATTCTCCCCATTCCATGCAGATCCAAGTCCCTCTTTCATCGATTTCATTGACTTGCAACCAGCATCCAACAAAGTAGTTAACTTCGTGTGTTGACCTCTATAGTAGCATGAGGCTGCTATCTTCTTTCATTCATATGCTGAATATAGTCACACTATGGCATCAGGCAGTCGCCCGCCCTTACTAATCAGAAGGGATTTTGAAGGACTACTCGAAGTCCTCCAGGACGAGAAATATCCCTCTAATGGCGCAAAATTCTGCAACTAATCGTCCGACGACTCGAAAACGATGTTACAAAAGTGAACTCCATCCGGCATCGACAGTGTAAATTACAATAACTTAACGCCTTTGATTGTGTCAAACGAGCTTTTCATGCCTATGCTAAAGCTACTTCTTTGGCAAGAGCATATTTATGACATTTTCGAATAAAGGTAAACATACGTAATGAGTCAGGTTCGAAAATAAGCTGCTGATTGAACTTTGTGCATATGTCAGTCACCACTTGTTTATCATCCGCCGGTAGTTGTACCTATAACTGATACTACTTAGTATTAGGATAGAAGAATGTAGAGTCCCTTAGCTGTAATCGCTTACTCCACAATGTTCCGACGTTATTCGTAACAAATCAGAAACGCATTGCTCAGTTAATTTATTAATATTAAAGTACCACGACGTTGATCCAGTCCCTATAATAACATATTCTTCTGAAATGTTCTTTTGTGCCTAGGAACAAATCAAACCAGGGATAAGAGATGGAAGGCTAATAGACGCAGTAAGAACTTAACCTGAAGAAGTTTAGGAAAAAATCAGAAACCAATTATGTGCAAAAGAGATTAAAAACGACCTCCAGACGTTCCACATCATCTTCTAAGGAGTACAGTCTCAAATAGCATCTAAGCACCAACCTGTGCATATCGCTATGCCACTGCTCTTTTGCTTAGTCATTTTTCCATTATCAATCTGTATTTCATAGTATGAAACTCGAGATGAAAGGCTTTCTCCAATGAAAACTTCATTTAGGGCAAGTACAGGCAACTGCATCGTCACTCTTCTGGGCGGTGATCGTGCTCGTTTCCTAGGAAGAAGGAATTTCACTCAAGTAGGAAAAGTGTTAAAAAAGCTAATACCATCCTACATTGTCTTCTTTGTTTTGTTTAATACTGCACTGCTATCCAGAGGAGTTGCTGAAGTTGATGGTTGAGAAAAACTATCCATCCACCGCGTTGTGGCCGGAATAGTGTTTAACTGCTGGTCATGCAATTCAATGGAATCCCCGACTCCCGCATATGACTCGCCAGAAAGCGTTATACGTATACGTTGCCGATACAGCCAACTAAATAAGACACCAATTATGCCGAGTAAATCAAGTTTTCGTCTTAAACCCCATATGAGCCAAAACCCACTTACAGTTGAGAACAATCCAAATAGTTATGTTTTAACAAATACATCATAACTGATTGTAAACGTTGTCATTTGAAATAAGAACTATTACAACACAAACACTTCTATCAAGCTTATTCTATCGTGACAAAATCCGCATGTTTGCAAGCTAAAAACCGTTCTTTTTTCGAGGGTACTATCTCGAGCAAAGAATGAGCAAACAAGTGAGACTTAATACAGGAATACACGATGGTGGCAAGCAGATTCGACAAATTTCCTGTCAACGTGGGAATTAGACTTGCGTTTGAAACTTTAAAACGACAACGTTAAAATCATTGAACTAGTTTTGGAAAAAAAATGGATGCGCTATTCTAGTGAAAGGGTGAACGCTTTCCTATGTTATATCACCTCTATCACTTGTAGACCAGTTTATCGTCGAGCGGACGCCAGTAAATCTTCCATTTTTTCCTGTCGCGTGCAAGAGTGACCCAGTTGGTTCTGCTCGCTCTACGGAGTCGTCGGGCACCATATCTTTCTTCAAAGCTCCTTGAAAAGAACTCTGACCATCGGGTCGGTGGTCTTCCTGTAGAACGTTTAACATTCCGAGGAATCCAGTCACTAACGGCTCTTGCCCTCCGGTTGCCACCGATACGCACTACGTGTCCGGCCCACCTTATCTTCGACTCTTTGGCGTACAGAACGACATCTTTGATTTTTGATCGTTGACGAAGATCAGAGCTTCGGATCCCATCTCTTACTTATGTGGAAAGGGATACTCCTAGAATCGTCCTTCCGACTGTTCATCCAGCTTACGCAGTGATAAGGTTTCTGACGCATACGTTAGGGCAAGAAGTACCGTTGAGTCGAAAAGGTGGGCACGGAGTCAGATATTCTTTGTTCTTCTCACTACATCCTCGATGCTCTTGAAAGCTTCCCAAACCGCTCGTTTCCTTCTGCTCAGCTCTGGAGCTAGGTCGTTCATCATATTGATTTCCCGACCTAGATAGATATAACTAGAGCATTCGGAGATATTCGTTCCGTTGAGCGTGAATGGGACATATGAAACCATTTCGTTCCTCATGAACACCGTTATTGTGAGATCTAGTCGAAGACCACTCTTTCCACAGGTTTTATCAAAGTCGTCAAGCATACGTCCCGCTTGGCTAATGTTTGCTGTTATACGGACGATGCCATCAGCAAAGCAAAGATGACGTAACTACCGACCATCGACTTTCACTCCCATATTATCCCATTCCAATGTTCGCATGACGTTCTGGAAGGCCGAGGTAAATAATTTTGGCGATATGGTATCGCCTTATCTTACTCCTCTTTTGACGTCAATGTTAATATCGTTGTAAAATGGTGATCTCTTGGTTACGAAATTTTAGTACAACTCACGAAGAGTCTTTATGCACTGAGCAGGAACTCCCTGACTATCCAGGGTATCCATGACTGCCTCTGTCTCAACTGGGTCAAAAGCTTATTTCTTAAATCGAAGAAAGTGAGAGAGAGCGGTCTCTTGTAATCTCGCGATACTTCAATGAATCTATTTGTGATAGTGCTATCTTTTCAAAACGGGAGAAGGAAAGAGAAGCAGACTCCAGCTTCTTCCAGTGTTATGGATTTGTCCCTTCAACTTCATGTAACTCTCTCTTTTCTACGAGAAAAAAAAATTTGCTTAAAACCGGTAGTCTGATCTCGCACACAACTTTGGAACTAAAACGGCATCACTAAGTTAAAACTCTCTCACTTTCTATGAATCGTATCTGTATCGTATCTCTCTGTACAGTACTATACTAAATCCTTTTCGAAACCCTGTTTGCTTACATGGTTGTGTTCCGCCATGGTACATGGTTGTGTACTAAATCCTTTTCGAAACCCTGTCTGCTTACATGGTTGTTTTTTGTTCTAGTGTTCCGCCAATCCTGTTTAGGACGACTCCAGTGAAAAGTTTGTAGACGACAGACAGTAAGCAGATTGGGCGATAGTTGCCGATATCGTGTAGGTCACCCTTCTTGGACACCAATACGGTCTTGCTGGTCTTCCACAAAGTAGGGACCTTGTATTCGGACAGGTAACCTCTGAAGAGCTGAGCCATTGTGTTTACGAGGACTGGCGGATTGTTCTTCAGGTGTTCTGGTCCTATCCTGTCCGGACCTAGCCGCTGTAACTGTTCCGTCTGGGTGTGGCAGTGCAATCATTTTGGTCTTGTAATTGGTGAAGTTTCGGTGGGTTTTGCGAATGCTGTTCCCAGCCTCTGCAGATTCCAACATTACTGCTGTTCTTCTCTCTTTAAAATCTCCTTTTACCGCTTGTCTCCATTGTTTTGCAAGTTTGGACGTTAGTTCGTGGTTGCCTACAGCTGGTGCGATTTCACGCTGCCGTATCAGCTCGAGTGTTTCTGGTGACAAACGTCTCTTGGTCACCTTCGCACTCTCAGCTTTAATAGCGCTAACGTGAAGATGCTGAATGATCGCATTCTTCGTCGATGTTATCGACAATGGCATCTTCCCAACAGCAGACTAATGAATTAAATAAGTCCAAGCTTGCGGTGGTTCTGGGGCTTCGGTTTTGGAATTTAGAGCCATTTTCTCCTTTCCGCGAAAAGTAGAATCTTGCACGAAGGAGACGATGGTCTGATCCCGTGTAGAATTTTGGGACCACACTGACATCGGTTAGGTAAAACCTATTTACTATGATGTGGTCTCTTTCGTTATGGTACTCTCCACTGGGAGACTCCCACGTCCAGCGCTGAGGGTGGGACTTCTAAAATTGCGAGTTACCATGGATTGTCTTGCTCACCGTGATAAAGTCAGACATTCGCTCACCCTGTTCGTTGCATTCTAAACCGTGGGTCCCAATGTGACGTTCTTCAGACATTCTTCTTGGTCCAACCTTGGCGTTGAAATCTCCAATGACCTTGAAGAATGTGTGGTCTTCTCTGTAAAACTTCTCCAAGTCGATATAGAACGCTTCGACTTCTTCTTCGTCATAGTTTGATGTCGGCGCGTAAACGACAAAGATTGTCAAAGCCGGAATTGATCCACGTCTTTTTAATCGCAAACATTCGATTCGGATTGTAAGCTGTTCGAATGAATTGATGTTCATGGACAAACTCGTGTTGACGAGAACGCCGATGCCGCCGACTCCTCCACTGTCACATGTTCGGAGGAGCAGTTCTTCTCCGGTGTCATAGGCAGAGTTGAATGGGTGGTGTCGTCTCGTCTCGGCCACGCCGATAACGTCGTACCTCATTTATTTTGCTTGCATGAACAAGTCTTCTATTGAGGACTCGGATGCAAGTGTGCGTGCATTGTTGGTACAGATCGTCACCATATTTCTTTGAAATCCAGGCAGCTCCCATTGGTCCTGAGATTTTAGCAGCCTCTACGTATTCGTCCTACCGAACGCTGCGAAATTGGAGGCTTTTCTGGGTCAGTGGAATGAGGTGCTGGACTCTGAACGTGGGGCTGGGTATACTCACGAGTAGCTTACTAGGCTTTCCCAGAACGGACATGGAGCTTATTTGTTGGAGGCGACTCCTAACCGCCTCCCATATACTTCCCAGTCACTTGATTGCAGCCTTTTGGTCGAATTGAAACGTAGAATACAATCCACACAAGCGAGAACGCACCCACACACGCATGCATGAATACGCCTAGCAAATACTGAAAGTTTGTATTAACTTGGCGCAGCAGGAAGAGGGAGTCCATTCCCTGGATCCACCTGCGTCTCAGAGAAGCGAAGGTCGCTTTTGGACCGCGATTAACCACCTATCCGCCACCTGGAGACGCGCCACGTAGCCTGGCGACTAACCGGTTCGAGATCCTTCATATGAAGGAGATCCGTGGCTTACGTTATATCATAGCAACAAATCCTCAGATCCACTGGACAACAAGAAACAATAATAATAATAATAATAATAGCTCTCGAAGAACCCTGAAAATCGTGAATGTGCCAACAAAGCCATCAGTTCAGCAACATTGCTTGTTTTGTACCGAACAGAAACGACTTGGACGATAGCCAAAGCAAAAATGTGAACACGTTGCGCTCTCAAAAACGTAAAGAAATGAGGAAGAACAATTCAAGCTTCTACAACGTATTGTCAAAATTCCCATTTTCCGGGTTATTTTTTAGTGTGGGCTTTTTCTTTAATTTTGATCAGCTGACTATATAAATAATCAGAAAAAAAAGGATAGACGAACAAAACGGACTCACTTCCACCTAGAAAATTCACTTTTGACAGAAATTTTGCCAGTTTTTAATTAAAAATTAAACCTCATTTTCTTCTTAAACAAACCAGAGATGTTTGTTTAGTGTTTATCAAATCGAACCCTTGAAACGGCTAACTTCTTTCCTATTTACTAGGTTGTCCAACAAACTAATGAATGCATAATCCCAACGTGTGTTTAAAATGGCATATTTCAACTCAGACTATACTTTACTAATCGAATTGAGGACCATAAGCCTATACTTTTTTCCAGCTCAAGATGTAGGTTTGTTTCCTACCGTCGCATCTCTGGAGTTCTGAAAACGATAAATCGTTAAATGTAGTTTCGGTTTGATTTGCGACAGATTCCTTGCACAGAAAGTTTCGAGACGCTTGCAGAAGCACCAGTCGAGAGTTCCAAAAAATATAATCGGTGAGGCACAACTTTGTAATCGGGTTCGTTCATCCTTTGCAGCCTTAGTAGTGGCAAGTGTGGCGACTAGTCATCGTGCAAAAGAACCATTTAACTCGTGCGGCATCCATTTGTCGAACTTCTTCAAGTTTCCAATTTTCTTTAAATGCTCCGAAATTGCCTATGTGCTTGAACCGAACTCTTCTGCAACTTCTCGAGCAACTATGAGTTAATTTGCTTCTAACAAGACCCTCATCAACTCATCGTCTTCAACCGCAGATGGACGCCCGTAACCGTCCCACTTCCCCATCATTAAACTCAAATTCGCTTTGATGAAATTTTTGAAAGCAACATCGTTGCAGTGTGCACTCGTTCACCCTTCCTGGGCCTCACACCTCAATATTTTGAGGTACCTGCGATGCGTACGTCCAAATTTGAATTCTTAAAACTAGATATGTCGAAAAATGCTGTTTTAACACCCCAATTTCTAAGCAGAAGAAATTATCAAAAATAAAATTTGTACTACATTCCAATTAGACACAGCGAAGGTGCGAAAATAAGCCCTGCTCTAACATACAGTAGCAAAGCACTCGAAAAGAATATTGCTAAAAACGGAGGAGAATAGTGTTAGAAATCCTGCATTAATTTATGAACAACCGCTTTCAAACAGTACAGAATCATTCTAGCACCCACTATTCAATGGTTAGAACACCACTTCGTGTTTTCCTGTACTGCTAGAATGACAAATATATCCCATATTCCTTAAACCAATTATTAACCCCAAATTTTCTTGAATAATGTCATATAAAATTCACTGGAAATCTCCGTTCAGTAGACGATGCAAAGCTGGTCGGAAATGTTCCTTAGACTGTTTTCTCATCAAACACATATATCCTTCGGATCTAAAGTGTATGAGGTAAAATATTCAGCAAAACAACAAAATAAGGTTTCATAAAATAAATTTTAAAAAACTGCCAAAAAAGAGAATTACAGCGCACCCTTGTGGGTCCGTATTTATGCCAATCACAGGTTTATCTCTTTGATGAATACGAGATGCCGCGAGTAAAAACGTTCCATCGCCACCTGCTGTCATCACCGCATCAGCCCAGTTAATCACATCCTCTGTGTAGTCGAATCTCTGGACAACCTTAGACTCCACACCCGCTTCGCTAAAAAATGGTATGTACGAACTTTACACAGTAGGCCTACCTGCTATCGCTCAACGGTGATTTTAAAAAGTTGTTTGACATGATGAATTGATGAATAATCGATCACTATTCATAGCGTTCTATTATTTCTAAATACCATTGGGCAAGAATCAAGACTTGTTAAACACGTGCAGCATAGTAGCTAGACGCGTTCAACAGTGCATAAAGTTGTCGGCTCAATTCTACGCCCTGCACTAACCAAGCGTACTATGGATGTGAATGGTAGTATGTTACCATTTACTCTATGTTACTTTCGTCGAAACTCAATGAAGTTAACATCTCGAAGTGGTTTGCAAGTTGTACTGTCTGCCGCGGCACTTCTTGCATTCACTCATTCTATACAATAACAATGATCCATTTTTAGCGCCTATAATTGAGGTAACATTCATCGTCTGTCAACTTACCAATCAATGAATTCATCCCATGAAAAATTCCTTGTTCATTTTCTAAGCGCAGAACAGAGTTTTTCCCGGATGATACCCGCCAAAAAAATCTGCAGTGGATGAGATACGAGATACTAACCAATTAAAAAATTGCAGGAAAAAGGTGATGTGTGAGAAAATAATCTGTCAGAAAAAAAAATGATTCCTGCACAGCTTATACCGTCAACACGTACGATTGCAACAGCGCACACCGCACGCTATGTGTGTTACTGAACACGGAAAGAAGGAATTTGACGAACAGATGTTTGCAAAACAATAACTTTCAAACCAACCGTCTTTCAACGTCTACATTAACAACCAGTACTTTCCCTGATTACAAAGCAAACACGAGGTCGATAATAAAATTTATTCGGCTGATGTTTCGAAGTTGTCGCCTTGAAGCATACTTTGACCAGGCCGTCTTTGGGATGCCAGGAAGCCACAATGGCTTAACCAGCAGGTTTCCGAAAAGTGGAGATTATGCTGCGGTCCGCACAACCAGTGAGGACAGGCCATTCAAGTATCAAGTATCAAGTATTCAATCTCTTTGCTTCCTATGTGGCATATATTGGCATAATAACACTCATCTTTTAAACCGCATGAGAAACTCCTCAAAATCGACGTTTCCGCCACGTGTGTGCACTCTGCCAATTTCCACTGCCAAGCTCAGTATATGGTCAAATTTTATGCGGCCTGCTTTGTCGAGCACAGCACGATGAATTTTCTTCATTTGACCAATAGTCGAGGGCGTCAACAGGTGGGTTTTCTCATTTCCCATTCACGTTGACTGCCTCCCAAGCACATCCCAAATATCCACAATAATTAAATCAGAAGAAATAACAGTTCTGTGACAACAAGCAGAAACAGTGATCCATTCGTGTTAATATCATCGAAGAAGAACCTGCCAGATAGCAGTGGTCTCATAATCATCATCTTCGCCCTTGTCGTCCGATCCAATACCTTCGAACTCTTTGAAGATAAGAAAAGATTTTTCTTCACTGTTTTATAGCCTTCAGCTTCTTCTTCGAGCTCAGTGGGAAATTTACGACCAGTAATTGATCGTTCTTTGCCATTCAGTCGCTAGGATCAATCATAGTGATACTGTGGAAGGGAAAGATGTAAAAGGGATAAAAACAGTAAAAAATATAGTCCAAAACACTCACTAAACAAACATACGCTATTAAAAAATATTGATCGAAGCTGATTTTTCGACAATTACCAATGACTTTTCGATAACTAGAACATCGACTTAAATAACTTCACAGACCAATAGAAGAGATTGCCATTTAATATACTACACTATAAAAATTTTCTTTCTTAAGAACGTTGTTCGATATCAAATTTGTTTAAAATATAGAGCATAGAGAAATTAGGAACGAAATTCAAATGTTGAAAGTTTTGAATACAGGTGTGGCCTTCGCAAATAGCAACGATGAATTACTGGTCTACCATGCTGTTCCACGGTATTCCTATTGTTCAACTGGTCTGGTGTTCCAAATATGAGACCAGATGAAAAGCACAATAAATACGTTTCATGGGCCTTATTAAATAGTGATTCTTTCACTGCAAAATAAGAGTTGTACTTCGTTGGCAAAGATCTAACGGTTTTGTTTTAAACAACAAATGTCACTAAAATCTGAGGCATGCTAGTGGGGTAAAGTTGAAAACAGTCATTATATTAGCATAGCATGCATTGAAATCAATAAACATTGTCCGTGGTGCGTGAAACTTCAGCTTAACAAAGATTGACTACACCATGGCTGAATAATGCACCGATTTCTTCATCAGACAAATAGATGGAAATGTTCTTAAAAGTGTTAAAAATAGACACAATAACAAAGGATAAAGGACAAAGGTCTCTGCGTTGATCAATCCCTGAGGGATGCGCCATGCGCACGACCTCACTAAGCACCGTTGGAGCACATTGAATACATATCAGGCCCTTAGAACGACTCGCGCTGGACTACCGATGTATCGAACCAGTGCTGCTATCCTCCCAGACAAGTTTGGTACCAATTTCCTGACACCGGAGAGATGGAAGAGTTAGTGAGTCTTGAGCGCAAGGATCGGTCCCATATGTATTGCACGACGCTTCCTACCACAGCGCTACACGCGCCCTCTACGATGGAAGAATATATAGGGTCAAATTTCATAAATGGTATTAATTGAAAAAACGCGGAACGAAAACAATTACAGGATAGAATATACGGAAAAATTTAGCCATTCTCTTAAATGGGAATGGGGAGCACAACGAAATGTGTAAGTCAACTATGACTGTTAGTCTGTGCAGCGAAAAATTAAGTGTTGTCTCTTTGCGGTGATTTTGGAACATTATAAATGTATTAAGTAAGGTCGATTTCAATCTTAACTAAAACTTAAACAACACTCCTCCGACATTTGTAACAAAAATGTAAAAGAAAGGCATAAATAACAAATGTACTCCACAAATAACAAACGTACTCAAGTTCGGACTGGATTGTTTGTAAATAACTGTGATGGACTTGGTGTTTCCTAATAAGCTGATGATAATCCGAACCTCGACGGCGTAGCTAAAGTTTCTTCTGTTTTTTCCTTCTAATCTTCCTAGGTAAAGCCTAAGAGCAACTAGAATAATGCTCACCACTACTTCGAGTTGTTCCTCATCAAGACCTTGATGCAGACGCTTCTCAAATTCGTACCGCGTAATTTTGCTCAGGATTAGCACCTTTTTCGGGTGGAATCTCTTGAAAAAAATCACAATGCTCTTTGAAACTAATCACTCGAGAATTGAGGTCTCCATGTTAACTTTATATTTGCTGCCTACTAAAGTTTTTAACGGCATGGTATTATGTGAAACACAACCACCGACGATGAGATATTTGCAAAACTCCGAACCACAGGTGTCTGTGGTGGAGAACGAACGCGCTATTACCCTCTCCGGGGTCTAACGCGTTCGCCACCACACCGTGCGGGTCCGTTGTTTCGCCTGTCTCTCAGATAGTTTTCCATCTACCAGAGCCATCAGCAATCACTCGTCAACGGGATTGAGGTCTCTGTTTTAAAGTGCGGGCAGTAGAATAAAGGAAAACACGACAGACACTAACACAAAATTATGCGTTATGCGTCCGATACAATGCAACACACCGAAACATTAGCAACAATGCCGGTTTGTCAATAATTGCTGATAATTTTCTGACGAATAAAGCATTGGAGGGGTTCCGAACGTGATATACTTATGGCAGAGCCTTGCTTCAATGCTAAATTGATGTAACAAACTTTTTATAACGCGGTTTCAATTTCTTACTTACTTAGTTGTTTTCATGTTCAGCAATCGCGAGGTTTTTAAACAGCATACATTTACTTCCACAGAGAAACACAATACAATACAACGCTAGCTGACGTTACGACAGCATCGCCTTCTTCAGAGCCTGGAGGGGTATACTGATATACAATCTACTAGGCCAAACGCTTCAATAACACTTACAAAAAGACGAAAGACTCTTTCGTAATTACATGATCAACAACTTCTCGAAAAACTCACTGCTTTTACGAGACTTCCAATCAGGAAGTTTAGAACAGCTGATTATAGTCGCATATGGTTGATTACTGCACCATCCCACATCAGAAATTGATGCGAACATACGGGGCCAGGTCGCGTATGACCTCTGGGCATTCATCCCTGCTATTCATTGCAGGGTTTTTGGAACCTATCCAAAAAACCTCAAGAAGTTTTCGCGATGATGTTGTATTCTCCTGTGCAAGAATATTGACTTTTACTTCAAAATCGTCTCCGTTTTGCTTTTGTATCCTACGTGCCTAGTGGGGTACTTTGTCTTATTTTTCGTTTGCCATCTAGGTGTTCTTTTATACGGATACACAATGGTCTGCCCGTCCGCAATTATTACCAGAGATCAGGTATATCGTACCTGAACTCATGCAGTCACCGTCCCTGCCGTAAGGGCAAACTACGCAATTTGTTGTTTCACATAGACGGTTATACGAGCGGTTACGAACTAACTAACGACGTAGAGTAGCCGGTGGAATTTCAACTATCACCACCGATTCGGTATAAGACGGGACACGTTGGTTTATTGATTTTAAAGTGCGAAATAACCGGTGATTTCAAACCTGCAGCCTTTGTTACACTGACCCATTGATTGCTTAGCTTTCGGTATTGATTTTATATTTCTTTCCAGAAAATGGGCAATAGAGGGTAGCATCACTAAGATGTCCCTCTGTCATCTCAACATCCAACTGGCGAGGAATAACTACGAACTCTCCCTCTTATCACTAACAGACAATCTTATTGATTTCGAGTTTGTTAATTCTCTAATTTCTGGTAAGTCACATTTCTGTGCGGCTGTAAGGTTAGAGATAAACTTTCTATCGCGGTAGTGATCAAGGGTCTGAGAAGGCCGTCCGAAAACATGAGGAATTTTATGTCAACTCCATCGTTAGGGTCCTGCTGTCTAAAAAACGTTTTAGAGAAAGGAGATGGTGGTAGTGTCACCGCCTCTTGCACAGAAGTCTAAAACACCAGCGCGAAAACTTCTTGAGGCTTTTTGGATAAATGCCAAAACCCTGCAATTAATGGCAGGGAGGAGTGCCCAGAGGTCATACGCGACCTGATCCCGTACGTTCGCATCGATTTTTGATGTGGGATGGTGCAGTCGTCAACCACATGCGACTATAATCAGCTGTTCTAAACTTCCTCATTGGAGGTCACGAAAAAGCGGTGGGTTTTTTCGAGAAGTTGTTGATCATGTAATTACCAAAGAGTCTTTAGTGTTTTTGTAAGTGTTATTGGAGCGATTGGCCTAGTAGATTGTATATCAGTGTACCCTTAAAGGCTCTGAAGAAGGCGATACTGCCGAAACGTCAGCTAGCGTTGTATTGTATTGTGTTTTTCTATGAAAATAAATGTATGCTGTTCAACAACCTCGCGATTGCTGAACATGAAAACGACGCATTCATATTCCAGTGCCGAGTTTAATAGAAGGTCGATCCTGGGAACTACTTACTTGGTGTTCAAATTCTGAATAAATTGAAAAATCTCATTATTCAAAGTTATAACGAAAGCACATAGCTACAAACATCAACGCTGAATCTGAGGGCAGCATCGTGTTCTTCTGAAACCAAATCTAACGTGTAACTACTTTCGTTACTGGAAATATAAACCACGGCGAAATGATAAATCCAGAAAAAAAAAACATTTCGTAGGTTTCATAGAGCTAGAATTTCCTCGTAGTAAGACAAGTCAGCTTGATTCCTGTTGAAGAAAAACCAATAGATTCTAATCGTCGTTAATTTGATCAGTACAGCTCATTAAGGAACGAGATATACCCGCTTGAAGTCGAATATCCCAAGTTTCCAGCTCAGTGAAGCGAATATGAATTGATGCAAAAGCATTAATAAAGCTCGACAGAGGAGTTTCTAATTGAGAGAAAGCAAACACCTCACAGTGAATCTTCAACTTCGAAACGAAGTGAAAATAAGAAAATGCAACGTATCGAAATCGGTTTCACATATGCTACTTATAACAGTGATTCACGATACATCGAACATATAAGCATGTGATTCCATGGAGAAAATCTACCCATATAGCTAAACATGCCATTAGATAGTCTTTACATGTTCATCACACATCAAGATTTTACAAATGAAGAAAACAATTGAGCATACCTCCATAGATATGCCAAGTGTATAGCTATTCCGGAAAACAGCGAAGTTCAAAGCCACGGAGTTTCGACTGAGAGCAAGTACAACTGAATGAGACAGTAATCGCATGTGATGTTCAAGTGAACCGTTGCGATACCTACAATCAGTTTTTTATATGGGTCAGAAAATAATACTAAAAAAAATAACAGAATGCAAAGTGATTGAAAAGTAACTCTCTATTTTAAGGTAAATTCCTGTGTTATCGAGCTGACACGAGGTTATTATGAAATATTTCTTCGACCAAAGTTCCCACGTCTTCATCTTCTCCAGAGCGGCATTGATATGAGTCAATTATTCACAGGTGGTCGTCCTCGCGATGTAGGTGTTCGCTGTCGCACCCAGGCGGATCCGATGAAGTGGAACACCGATCGGATGAAGAATCTCACTCCACGGTACACTTTTGCACAGCATGAATGTTGGTTAATTGCCGCCATTCAATATGACCTGCTGTTTGGTGGGGTCGCGTCGTGTAGCAGTCGGTGGTATACCAATTGGCACGTAGCGCAGTAATACATAGCATTAAAAACCGACTTTTATTCAGTTTTGCACAAATGGTTGTGCCAGCTAGTATACCACCGACTGCTACAGGACGCATTATCCGCCAAAGAGCAGAACATACTGAAAGGCGGGAATGGACGAACATCCGTACTATATAAAAGTGCACAGTCGAGTGAGATTCTTCACTCGATCGGGTCTCCAGTTCACTGGATTTGATTCGATGCGTCGACAAACACCCACATCGCAAGTACGAGCACCTCTGGATCATTGACTCGGATCTGTGCAGCTCCGAATAAGATGAAGATGTCCAAACGTTAGCCGAGTAAATATTTCATGACAACCTCGTGTCAGTTCAAGAACATGAGAAAGTATTGATGATTTAGGCCAAGATTAAGTAAAAGTTGGATTTTAGAGGTGTATTTTAAGATACTTCAGAATTATTTATATGTCGTAATATTTTTCGCAGATTTTTTGCACATGTTCCTTAATGTATGAGAGTTCAACTGCTGTTCTTTTTCAATGATGCTGTGACATTTACGAAACTCCGGACCGCAGGTATTTGCGGTGGGAAACGAACGCGCTATTGTCCTTACCGGGGAGTAACGAGTTCACTACCACACCATGCAGGTCCTTTGTTTTGCCTGTCTCTCAGCTCTTGTCAAATTCTGTCAGGAGCTTGGAAATGTCTCAGCATCATTGAAGTTATATCTATACCCTGCCATTAAAAAGAGTAGGCAGTAAATAAAACGGTTACAGTTGTTCTTTGTTTCAAATCGCTGATTTTCTTTTGGTATTTGGAAGCCCTATACAGGACTGGATGTCCTAATCTGCGAGAGCGTAGCCCAGTAGTCATACGTTTTGAAGTTCGAACATCTGTTCCTCAAGTGGATCAGTACACGGGAAAACACTGAAGATTTGATTTATATGCAAGATAACGCTCCTGTACAGCTTGCTAATGTTGTTGGTAAATGAATAAACGTCCACTACTGTACAAGATGGATGGATCATTGTCGTCCGTATGAGTGGCCAACTAGAAGTCCTTAAAAACCTGCTTCATTCTTCGTTGTTGATGGTTAAAGGAGCAATTTATTTCATTACACCAACCCCTTTAAAAGACCACGAAGCTATACAAGACGCTAACTTGTTCTATCTCATAAGAGTTCATGGTGAAATCAGTTGATGCAGTTCTCGCGCGCCTTGAGAAACTAGTGGAAAATTTTGGTGACCACATCGAACCCATTTCCCGTATAAATTACAGCTAGGGAGTAAATTACAAGAAAATCACAATAGGGAGTTACGTCTCAATCACTCTGTATGAGAACTAACAATTGATTGTGAAAACCACTGCAGCTTTCTTGAACACCTGAACAGGAGAAACTTAATTCAGTCGAATCTTCAGCTCGTTTGATGAAAACTAGCTCGAGAACACTGTGCTAAAATTACGAAAAGAATGAAATGAGCACAAACGAGCAAAACGACATCTGTAAAGAGCGACGACATTGACGGCGCACACGGTAAGTATAGTGATGATAGCGAAGGGCAAAAACTAGAACTATTATTGTTACACCAAAACATGACCCATTTATAAAGGTGCCTGTCAAAATTGTTACTCAAAAGGCGCCTGACATTCGTAAAGTAAAAAACTCCATTAATGAAAACGTTCGAATTTCATAACGGAATGTTAAGAGATGCCCTAGATGTTTTCGGTCTACAAAATCCACTGATGATGTAAGAAACACTCTGAGGATGAAAGAACCTAAAGAAAAAAAAGAATACACGGAATGAAATGAATGACACTGTTTACCCACTACAGAACATGACAGATGACTTCAATCAATGCGACAGCAAAACAAAAACGAAGAAAATTCCAGCATTTAACCATCTAACAAAGTTACACGTATGATTTGAAAACAAACTAATGCTCAGCTACACTATT